GATAATTTTGTTTGTAGGTTTGCAACAAACGTTGTGTTTCTGCGACTATTTGCGATATCGTGGTCTACTCCAGCTAACTGTGAGCTTGATGATACACGTAGATTGTTGATTCGGGAAATTGTAAGAAGGACTGAGAAATAAGATGGTCCTAATGTGTCAACGAGTCAGAAAAAGCGACTGCATCTGGTAAATGCTGGAACTTGCTTTAACTCATCCAGGACATTGAATGTAAGAATTCTCGTTTGAGTGAAGCAATCTGTGCAGTTAATGGGATTCGGTAGAAGACTAACCGACAATGAGCACGGTGGTTTTCGGTTAGATGGTGAATGTATCGGTCATAACGTTCCAATTCGCCAAATATTAGAACATCATCGCACTTATTTCAGGCTAACGACTGTAGTGTTTGTCTAGCTGTAAAGACTCGGGTTTACAATCCGTCAGCGAGAGGAGTTTAGTTCGACGTTTTTATGAAACCTGGTCTCTGAGTAGAAAGTGGTACGCAACTCCCTGTGTTTGTTCAACGTCATCTACCAAGGATTGTCGACATCCAATAGCAACACCATGCTAACAATACTGATGTTCGGTAATATGTATTCGGGCACAGTGACAATAATTTAGTTAGTATGACCATCTTGAAACATTGATTTCGCAACTTGGTCACATGGTCTCAGAGTTTTTCACCCCGTGTATTATTTGTGAAGTCTAGGATTGGGTGAGAAGAGCATATAGGTGTCCAGTTTTTGTGCGCGTGATATGGTGGCATGGTATGAAAGATAGTTGTATAGGACTGGCGTTTTTCAGTCAGTTGATTGCACGCTTTCTCCTTCTTATAATTCTTTACAGCCTTATAACTGTATTTTGTGTAGGGCGTTATTCTGTATGCTTTATTCTATGCACTATATATTATGCATTACTTTTTAATCGATCGATTTAGAGTTTCATATTGTAATATGAACATTTACACTTGAGGTTCATATCCAATAATCTGAAATACTTTCTAGTTTTCACCATTTGCTACCACTCAACTCTACTAAAATATTAGTATTTATAAGTATGTATAAAGACTAATAAATGTCTTTTATTCTTTATTAATGTACTAATATGTTGTAAATCTATTAATTTGGTCATGTGACTATCAATAATATACTACTGTTTTTCTTTAGATTTATATCAAGGTCTATTTAATATTATATATATAATTAGTCACTGTTATCAATGCAGACTTTTTCTCAAGAAACTATTTCACTGTTTTTTTTTACTCTTTGATCGATGTAATGTTGTGGTATGATTAGGTATTTGCACAATGGTAGTAGTATTTGGTGTTCAGCACAACTATCAATGCAATGCAGTGGTTGACAATTTGTGCTCCATTGTATTTATCTAATAAGGTATACTTTCATACATAAATCTATTGTACTCATTAAAGTTTAACTTTTTTGTGTATCTATTTATATCACTGTTGAGTTACGCCCCTACATTTGGTTGGTTGTAGTAGTAGTAGTAGTGATGGTATTGTGAATAAGTAGTATTTGTTCTAGTTATCTTGTTAAGTAAATAAGAAATGATTAAACATTATCATAATTTTTGGTGAAAAGATTAAAAGCAAATAATGTGATTACTCCTTCACTAATAGCTTTTGTGTGTCAAACAAGAACAAACTGATTAACAAATGTTTATTTCTTTTACTCTCTTGACAGTACATTTATTGCCAAAATGGAATAAGCATAAAGAATGCACAATAAGATGTTCCTATCGTTTTAAATAGCATAAATATTTATCTCTTATTTTATCTATAAATGAGTAAACACAAATTCTCTCTCTCTCTCTCTCTCTATATATATATATATATATATATATATATATATATATACATTCATCGATTTATTTAGTTTATACAAGGCACTCTTAATAAAGTCGTCTGCCACTACTACTGACAATGTTTTCAGTAGAAATTGAAAGTTCAAAATAAATGTAAGATGGATTATTGTCTATCTTACTGTATGTATTTTAGATAATAACGTTGTGCGCTCTTAATAGGATTCATTCACTAGGTAGATATAAGTTCGTTTATGCAGTTTCAAAATATATTTTATTTTTGTGAAGTCCTAATAATACTACTACCCTTCTTTCCAAACAAAAATGGGGTAATGAAGTTCAATAGTTTAGACCTACTTATTCAGAGCCGACTACATGAACCATTGCTTCAAATTTTTGTCAAGAATCTAAAAATTTTGTTCGTAAAACACTTTATAAACCATATATGTGTCTGGCCGCTGCTTTCGATTGTAATCGCCACATTACGGTCGTCGGTCTTATATATATATATATATATATATATATATATATATACTGCTTCGTAATTTCCTCTTTTTAACGCTATTGTCACTTTATTTCACACTTACGACGTACCACTCAGTTAAATTCTGAGAGTGTGGGTCATTACATATTTGCTCTGTGATCTAGAAGTAATAGTTTTTTGGGTATGTTGTGTTCTTTCAGCTGATTCGTTTGATTGCGAACCTTTCATTTTATTTCTTAGCAAAATCAGTGCTTGCCTTACGTAAAATCGACGTTTTAGTCAATCCACAATTATCCACCCTGGTAATTTTGTCGGCAATTTGTTGTTTTTAGTGGTTTTATCATCTGTTTGCCTTTGCATTCCTGTTGATCAGTTTGTTTTGTTGACCATTGATTCTTTAATGTTTTACATATAAGCAGGTGAATAGTCTCCATATCTCTGTTCTTACTGACCCCATATTGGCTTGATTTGACGCTTCCAAAAATTTCCCTAATTTTAACGTTTTTCTAGTCAAATTGACGTCTGTTATGGACATCGTGATAACAACTCGTGTCGTCTTATTACCAATTTGTACTCATGTATGCCTAGATAGAGGTTTCCATCTTGTCTAATAATATTTTAAATCTATGTAAAATACAATAAAGCATTTCCGTTTATTTGTGAATGACTTTAATTCCATGGGTTTTCTGAATACTTTTGTATTTATCACATAGTGGAACTATTTATTTTACGGCTTTTAGGAATGATTTTATAATGGTGTATCGATTTTTAGATACTTCTCTGATGAATTGGTGTTCTTGTCACAAAACTTAAAAGTTCTAGGCTCCGAACATCTGTGGAACTTCAGATGTGAACTCTGGAGGAACGAGTTCGCTAGGACAAAATGGCAGTTTATTGGTGTCTAATTTCAATTTACATACTGACTACATCCAGTTCATAGTTACTTAGTTATTTTAAGGATGATTAATACATGTGTAACCAAAACACTGTATTCTTCTGATTAATATGTTTTATGGACTGTTATTTATATCATATTTGTCAAAAGAGTTGAATAATGCTCGTGCAGTCAGACCGAAGGAGGTGATTCTCTTCAGGATCAACTCTCCTGATCTAAAGGTCTAGTTAACAAAGTAGTGGTGTCTGACATCTCAGTCGGATTGTAAATAGTGACTCAAATAGGTTCATATACCATTCGCTTCCATAGGGTTCTGTAACTCATGCACTCTACTGATTCGGAATTTCAGTTTTCCAACTCCTTTAGATAGATCTTCCGTATCCATTAACCCGGTCCACGTGACGGCCATAAATATGGCAATAAATAATTTTGAAGAGATTGATCTACTTCTGCTTCATTACGATAAATATAACCTGTTTAATTCAAGTGTTTTCATTTGTTCTTATGCCACATTTCTGTTCCTTCTAGTCCCAGTCCCGTGTTTACGTTTATTTCCCAACACACAGCACCTCGTCTATGGTAGAATTTATTTTCTGTTTAAATAAACTTAAGTGGTAAGACTATAATTTATGAACGAACCAAGCAGATATAAGATAAAAGGTCCCGAATTTTGGCGCGAAATATGGCAAAAGAGTTTTAACATTGATGAAAACCCTAAATAATCTTCCTAATCTCAAATTACAACTGTAAATCACAATTTTAAGTCCTCACACAGATTTATAACCCTCATTTGGTCCTAGTTATTAGGTGGGCACTTACAAGGTCACTTTAGCGTCGATCCAATGTCGTCCATAAATTATAGTCTCACTACTGACCGAATTCGAGAATGCCTTTACCGAATGCGATTCCTAATACATCTCTTATGAAACCGTGTTTGTCACTCAAAGTGGCCTCGTTCAACGTCCTCATACTAATGCCGATGGAATATAAGATGAGTTTGACCATGTCGTTGCGAAGTCTTGCCATCGATGTATTCTGTATCTCAAAGACCTGCATTCAAGACTCCATCGAAGTACTACATATCTGTTCTCGATTTGTCGCTTAGAAGTACGTATTCTCCCACTGGTGTATAGGTGTGTAAGTCTGACGTTTGTTTTGGAGTATCCATATGGACTGTAACTATGTCCTAGTTTGGTTTTATTTCAGTGGTCACCAAACATCTTGTTGTAAATGGATTGATGTAACCAGTTTTCAATTTTTCAGCCTGGACACTAGTATAAGCTCACTATCCCTTAAATAAGCAGTGTGAATTCGAGCCTAGTAACTCATACACCTAATACAGTTCCGTGAATTCGGAACATGTTTTGTGTGATCTTGTGATGCTTTTAAACAACTGCCAAAACCGGTTTTCATATTCGAGTGTTTAGAAGCTGAACTTTTAAGAATTTCGTGCTACTGTAGCACTGGATATTTATTTGTTCAGACCTTGAATATCAATGATTCTTAGTTAGACAGATCTTCAGTAGGATTAAATTCTATCTAGTGACCTAATCACGGATTTATCAAGATACCTGATGAATAACAATGTTTGTAATCAGTACATTTCTATTTTGATTAACTACACCTGTTTGACGCGTATACTAGTTCCTACAATAATTTAGTGTTTTAAGCTGATTCTTTTCTCAAGAATGTCTGGTTTTCACTGTCGAAATATGGTAGTGATGGTAGTAGTATTGATAATATTTACTTCCATGTGATTGATTGTATAAGACACTTTTTTATTGCTGTGTTTTTCTAAAATTTTAGGCGATCGATACATATGAGAATTCCGAAAGAAACATTGTCACACTCGATCGACAAATCAAATCGCGTAAAGGTAAATTTTCCAAACATCGTTCATTTATTTCATCCTTTCAATTTACTATATGGTTATTTTGTGTTGTAGTATTATTAGTTTATGATGGGCTGACTTCTGAAGATCGGTTAATAAACATTAGCGATCAAGCCAACCAGGGTTTTCAATTTGACTGTTGTTAATGTTTGCTGCAATTTTCTGCGATGAGGTATTCATTCTTGTACTTGTCTTGTTTAAAAAAAAACACATCTAACCGTGTTATATATAATTAAGGGTTTGGCACTAATGCATCAGTTGACACTGTGAGATATGAGTCAAATTATTAATGGTGTATGTTATAAAATGTACATCGAAAATTTGATTATGAACAAGAGAATAAAGGATTGTGATATTCGCTGTGCAACTATCCAATACGAACACCTTTTAGCTATCAACCTGGAAGTGTGCACCTCAATATGGTTTATTAAAAAGTGTCATTCACTTCGCGGAATGATGTCATATCAGGTTTTACCGATACTTTTTAGGTTCCTTCAACTTGGAATAGTTGTCATGCAGTTTTATTACCCGAGCTATATTCCAGCCCTCACACAAATCGAATGATTTATGTGGCGCATATCTATTTGGTGCCTCCTTATACTAATATTTATGTGTTTAAATGAATAAACATTTAGTTCAGGCATGAAATAATCTTGTTTATTTTTTCTTGTTTTTCACAAAGCTGAATTATTAAAACAACGAACTGAAAATGAAAAACTAAAGAAAGAAATGGAATTATTTTTCAAAGAGATGCACGATATCTGATGATAGCAATAACAATTATCTCTCTCTCGCTCGCTCGCTCTCTATTCACATATATTAAGATTGTTATTGATTTATATTATTTTGTTCGTTTAGTTCCTAAACACCAACATCCTATGTATTAGCTTTCTTGAAGAAAAAACAAAGCTGACTGTCTATATCTGAAACATAGAATTGATCTAATTTATGATCTGTTTCCTTAACAATAGAAATGTTTGTCGGTAAGTTTACTTAATGCTCAGTGATTCTTTTCAACTTTTAAAAAGCAAAATGTATTTTCTGGTAGTTTTTCATTCTATCAAAGAATACTACTTTAGATAAAATTATTTTATTTTCTATAAGAATAATAATAAAAACAACAACAACAACAAGCATAACCTTTTTTTTTTCTCATTTCCACTCCTTAACTGCTATTCTTGTAGTTATAAGTTATTTTGTAAAACATTCTTTCCATATTTATTATCATTATGATTATCGTTATTGACTTGTAAAATTATCTATTTTTTTTCTTTCAAATAAACAAACTTAATACCTTTTGTTGTAAGATTCAACTGTTTGAGTTCATTTCTATCTCTGTATCTAATTGGTTATATTTGTCAGATGTAAAATGAAAATTTTGTATTCACAACAACCTGGAGTCTTAAATCCTGAATTGGTATATAATTTAATTTAACATTGCTAAATGACCCATATTCATTATGTCTTGCAGGAAAGTAAACTGAATGACGAGAAACCCAGTATTAAATGCATATATTTGTTGTTTTGTCTAAACTGAAGAAAAAAAAACCGCAAGGCGATAGTTGAAAAGTAAACTGACACTTAGTTGTTATTACAATTCAAGTTTCCTGGGTTCAAAATTATATTCCTAGTACGATGTGAGCTGAACAGGTATATAATTGGTGTAGGAAGTGGGTTGTGTAGATTGTAGCATTTTCATGGCTTCAATCACGAACCGCTCTCAGCTAGACAACAGTGGAAACCTAGAAGCACTAAGTAGCTATATTGCTTCTATGTGGCATTCTTCAGCAATGCGGATCTGACAATAGAGTCCAAATCATTCAGTCTCGTGTGCGAACGCTAAACCTACAGACCACAGGCTGGATTCAAAAGTGTTAATGTCTAACTCCATTCAATGGACGGTATTGCACAACTCTTCTTTCGGTGGTTAACTGTCTCACTTTGATTGAACTCCGCCGGTCTATAGCCATCTAGTGCTTCCTGGCTTTTGTGGGGATTCAGCTGAGATCAGTTAGTAACTTACCAGTTGAGTCAAAGCTTATGGCGAACTGTCATCTGCTTTCAACCTCAAATGGTGTCCGTCAAGGCTGTTCACTATCTCCATGTTTCTTTAAATTCATCATAAATGTACTGATGAAAACAATTTCGTCAACTGAATTTTCGGGCATTGATCTTCCAGGAGGTTCACTTATCGACTCAGAATACGCAGATGACATAGTCCTGTTTGGTGAGGACGCTGATAAAATACAGTCTTTTCGTATCACTGAGCAACAATGCCAGAATGTTTGGAATTCGTCTCTCTCCCTCTGAACGCAAGTTGTTGCTTCAGAACTGAACTAAGGGTAGAGAGTGAAGTAGTCGAACGCGTTGACAACTTTTCTTGAAAGTCGGATCACCCGTAATACTTTGGTGTCTGACGAAATCTCAGCACAGATTCAAAAAGCTCGTTTGGCTTTTGCCAACTTACGTCGCCTATATCGATGGCGAGATATCCGTCCATCAATTACGGGACGAGTATACTGCGCAGTAGTTCGTTCTGCTTTACTTTTCGGCTGCGAAACATAGCCATTACGAGTAGAAGACACTCGTAAGCTACTAGTATTTGACCATAGATGCCTCAGAAAACATTGCTCGCATCTACTGGGATCACCGGCTAAGTTATAGTAAGGGTAGGAAATGATGGTCAGTTGATGAGGTTGTGAATCTTCATCGACTGAAATGTTTGGGCCACGTGTTGCGTATGCCTGACAGCGATTACCACGACGCGCAATGCTAACTGGTGTTGGGCATAGTTGGAAGAAATTCAGGGGGAGCCAAAACAAAGCATGATACCAGTGCTTGAAGTCACTAACTTCTGGCCTGAGCCATGTTGGTAGATGCAGACTACTTAGTTGGGGTACGCGTGACTTTCGTAACCAATGGTTGGAGACTGGGCAATATGGCTCAGAACCCATCGCAGTGGCGTCGGTGTATACACTCTGTCTCCACTTAAACCGTGATATCAAAATTGCTTTATATCTTTTTATCAACTGATTGCTTCTTCCTGTACTATGTTCTTATACACAATCTTTCTTTTATATATTACTACTATTGAAATGACTGCCTCTATGAATTCATTGTTCATCTTGTTGTGCTAATGAAGTGTGACAACTTGGATCGATGCATATATGTGTCTGGTCCTACGTTGTAGCTGACTGACTTAACCTGTGGAGGTTTATAATTGCCTTTTCTCCCTGTGATCTGTAATAATTTGTTTGTTATGTTTACCTCTATTCGGACTACACGTGAATAAAATATAAACCTTTATAAATTTTTAATTGTTTCCCTGATATTCTTATCCTTCATTCCAGATATTCAACAAATGATCTACATGACATCAGAAACTGTCATCTTGTTTACGATTAATGTAGTAGCTACAAATAGTTTCAAAATGATGTAAAACGACAATTCGATCCTAGAATTTCAGGGAGATTCGGTCTTAATGTTAGATGGGAAAATATGAAGCGATGTCCAATGAAAATTATCAAAACCATTGATTGATTCAGCCTCGAATTACTGTCTTCCCGATTGGTATTAGTAAACACTATGTGGTTAAATCTTTGTTTTCAAAGATACTTGGAACTGACGTTCGTATTATCGTTTTTTTCTTAGATTCCAGATAATATAAGACTAGTAAATTCATTGGATTTTTAACTACGTTCTGTCTCATATCTATTTCAATATCTATCTGGTTTAATTCAATAAGACCACGCCTAAATGAGCAAGGTGGAGCAGGATGCATAATAAGGAGACAGCGCACTAATACAATTCAATAGTGTCTATATTAATCGAATAATTATAAAAAAAATAGTAACAAGTGTTAAAGAGATAAACACTAGTGGGAGTTGGTGCTTCGTTTTGTTAGTATAGAGTTGTGGAGCTTGTCGAGTTTTAATGAGATTGTGAAGTCATCATTGAAATCCTGTTGGTCTAGCATTAGTCGGTCCATGATCTCAGTCAAATTCGTCTTGAAATAATTCATTTAGTTATTGATTACATTGCAAGTGACAAAAGCGGCAAAGTACTTAACTGAATTGTAGCCGGTTATTTGAAGTGAAAGTGTAATCGTACATGGACAATTAAAGTTGCATTTTGTTAGGACTGAAATACCGGATGCGTTTTTCTCCCTTTGTAAGCGTCATCCAAATGTACCTGTGCTCATGGTTGAAGTTCACTCCAGGACACGAACTTTGTAGTATAAACGCCATCTCATTATGCAAGTGACTACTGAGTTCAGATAGCCACTAGCTTGTGCAATAATAATCATGACACTCAAAGAAGTTTTTATTTTTTTAAAGGTAATACTTAGTTACTATCTTATAATTTATCGATTTTATTCAGCGGTCATAATAAAGATGAATCGCGAAAGACTCTAATAACATTTTTCATTTCACCAGAACTAACAGGCTGTATTTATAATCTGGGGTTCGGCTCAATCTGGCAGTAAATAAACCATCAAAGTACATAGTTCTGTAAGTCACATCCTGTTTGAATGGAAAATCTTCGGATTCTCTGGGGTCCCTGGGGGCCCCATCATTGTGTTCGAAAGCCTTACCGACACTCCCAAACTTTTCTACCTCTCGCTTGTTAATTTGGAAGTCACATGTAACTCCGAAATTCCAAATGACTTCATACAGGGATAACACATCATCAAAATTCCGAATAAGAAATCTTAGTAAATGTAAGAGAAGAGAAGAGATTACACGATCAGATGAAAGGTTCAGTTGACGCCAAACTTTGAGATCAACAGTATGAATTTCGTAAAGGTTGATCACGTATCCACTAATCAGTGACCCTACAAATAATTATTCAACGACCAACTGAGTGGAACACATCACTAAACATTAATTTTCTTAATTATAGGAATTTTTTCGACAGTATAGTGCACCTAGAAACACTGTTACAATTGCACGAAGCAATTATGAGAGGCTGGATTGTAAATTTGTTGATGGAGGGCAGCTTACAGGTGAATCCCATGTAAATAATAGTGTCAGACAATGTTTTCTGTACTCGTCTCTCCACCTTGTGCTAGCTGTTAACTAAACTATGAAGACCTCTGTTATATTCTAATGAAGAATAAATTACGGATAACCTCTGAGAACTATTAATGGATTTATATTATCTATACATATATATTCCTACTATATAACTGTTCAGTGACTAGATTATGTATATCTATTAGTCTCTTGCTAAAAGCTTCATTTTGACCTATAGATTTACTGTTCTTAATTTGTATTCAGTTTATCGATTACAGTCTCCCACGTTTGCAGTCACTTACTGGTTTGATCTTGTGTAAATGCTATTTCCTATTTTATGATGTGACGCCGTCTGTCTGTCTGGTATATAAACAAAGTATGTTTGGAATAAATGATTCGCACAGTGGAAGCTGTTGTTGGCGTTCTGGACTCAACTGGACGGGCTAGGAGAACAAAGGACCAATAAGAAGGCTAGGCTGTTCATACTAGTTGGACGTCATTGGTTTCGCACAGTGCTAAGTTTGAATAAGTCGTATTTCGATTGACGAATGAATCACGTGATAACTAGCCGGGTTTAAAGGCACAACAACTTCCATATCTCAGAAGTAGCACAGAATACAGTGGATCCCTTAAACTTAACTAGATGATGAGGAATTCGCAGACGACTTGGCCATGCCATCACACACATAACGACAAATGCAGGTAAAGATAGGTAGTGTAACAACGGCCTCGGTATTGTCAGGCTTCAACATTCACAAGGGAAGAAGCAAGATCTTGAAGTACAATACAACGAGCATCAATTTAATTATACTTAATGGCAAAGCTTAAGAACACTTGGAACCTTGGCTTTGACAGTTTCAAATAAATCGCGTATCAGGTAGAAAGTTAATGGTTGATATATTTTTTGTTATATCCCAATGAGTAGAAACTCGTATTTCGTTACATCAAATTACAAAACGTCAAAAATATAACTTTCCAATCATTGGGATATAAAGAAAAATATATTTGTCACTTGCACGTAACTGGATAGCATTATCAGCAGACAAGGAATGTCGGATGCAGATGTCATGGCACGAATTCCCGAGTCAAGAGCGGCATTTCTAAAATCGAAGATAACCTGAAACTCAGAACAATAGTCGCACAACACCAAAGTCAGATTTTCTACACCAACATTAAAACTGCCATTGTAGAGTTAAAACCTTGAGAACTACTGCAATCATTTATTACCAAATACTCGAATGTGTTGGTAAACAGTTGCCCATGCAAGATACTGCAAATCAACCTTCTAGTAAATAGTTTTGCCAATTGTATAAAAGTGAGTAATTAAATGTTCAGAAAGTGATGAAACTTACGTATGTGCTACATGATGAGAAATCGGTTGTACTCTAGTGCTGTCTGTCGGATAATTAAACTTCAGTGTGTCAATCATAGGCTTTTTTCGTTTTGAGTTTTGCATCGTTTATTCCACTGCAAGAATCATTGGGTAAAGGCTTGCGATCAAGTACATGCAAGTGATGACATTTGGATACTCTATACTGCTCATATTCTACGAGCACAAATCTTTTTACACCGCAAAAATTTTGACCGATTCATCGTTATTGTAATATACATACATTATCTGCTTACGCTTGTTAACCCTCGTGAAGGAGCATAGGCCGCTCACCAGCATTCTCCATCCAACCCGGTTCTGGGCAAATCTTTCCAACTCTTTCCAGTTGCTATTCATCCTTTTCATATCTGTTTCTATTTCTCGACGTGATGTGTTCTTTGACCTCCCTCTTTTCCGCTTCCCTTTATCACTACAAGTTGTCGCTTTTCTCGTGGTGCAGTTTGATGTTTTGCGTAATGTATGTCATATCCATTTCCATCGACTTTTCCTAATTTCCTCTTCAGATCGAAGCTAGTTTGTTCTCTCCCACAAAAGGCTGTTGCTGACGATATCCGGTCAATGGATGTTGAGTATGTTTATAAATACTTGTCCCTTTTTGATGATGGTTGTGATATTTCTCGAAGTAGAACTGTCTAGATGTTCGAATTGACGATTCTGACTTTGATATTGGTTGATAGTTGTTTTGAGTTCCACATGTTCTTCAATTTCAGGAATGCGACAATCTCTTCGCCAGTTCTCGTCTTTACGTCTACATCTGATCCTCCTAGTTCATCGATGATGCTTTCCAGGTACGTGAAGCACTCCACATCTTCCACAGTTTCTCCATCAAGTGTGATTGAGTTGGTGTTCCTTGTGTTTTATTTGAGGAACTTGATTTTCCTCTTCAGCATGTTAAGGTTTGCTGATGCAGAGGCTGCTGCTATACGAGCTTTCTTCATCTACATTTGACCGTGTGTATGCGATAAGAGGGCTAGGTCATTAGTGAAGTTCAAATCATTTAATTGGTTCTGAGATGTCCATTGTATGCCGTGTTTTCCCTCAGATGTCGAGGTCTTCATAATCCAGTTGACCACCAGAAGAAAGAGGAATGCATCTGTCAGCTGTCCTCCATACACGATTTCGCACTGTAGTACGTCGTGTGAGCTCCGGATTATACTGACAATCTTCTCAGGAACTCCGTAGTGTCGAAGAAGTTTCCATAACGTTCTCCTATCTACACTGTCGAATGTCTTTTCATAATCAATGAAGTTGATGTACAGTGACAAGTTCCACTCAATTGATTGTTTGACTATGATCCGTAGTGTCGCAATCTATTCTGTGTACGACCGATCCTTACGGAATCCAGCTTGTTGATCTCAAAGTTCGGCATCTACTGCGTCTTTCATCCTGTTCAGCAACACTCTGTTAAAGACTTTTACTGGTACCGACAGTAGTGTATTGCCTTTGTAGTTTTCACACTTGCTCAGATCTCCTTTCTTTGAAATCTTGGTGAGGTGGCCTTCTTCTCAATCCATCGGCACTTGTTCCTCCTCCCAAATCTTCTTGAATAGAAGATGAAGCATGCTTGTAGTTACTTCGATGTCTGATTTCAATGCTTCAGCTGGTATATTGTCGGGTCCCGCTGCTTTCCCGCTCTTGATTTGTTTGATGGCCATTCTGATTTATTCGGTCGTTGGTGGATTGACATCAATAGGAATATCTGTGTGTGCTGCCTCGATGTCCGGTGGATTCATTGGAGCCGGCCTATTCAGGAGTTCCTCGAAGTACTCTACCCATCTGTTCCTCTGTTTTTGAATTTCAGTGATTGGCCTGTCTTCTTTCTCTTTGACTGGTCTCTCTGGTTTATAATATTTCCGTGCTAGGTTCTTCGTTGTATCGTAAATCTGTTTCATATTTCCGTCTCTTGCAGCTTTTTCCGCCGTCGTTGCTAGTTCTTCCACGTGTTTCTGTTTTTTGGCTCTAATGCTCTTCTTCACTTGGTTGTTTCTTCTATGTACTCAGCTTGTGCTTGGACTTTCTCTGCTCGTGTTAGAATGTTGTTGATTGCTGTCTTCTTGTTCGTCCTTTCTTTGATCCTGTCCAGTGTTTCTAAAGAGGCCTATTCCACCCTTCTAGAGTTATTGTCGGTCCCAAGCCCGGGTGAAGGGTGAGGGTTAAGCATGGGGTCAGCGATCCCATCCCGTAACGAACTATATATATATATATATATATATATATATATATATATATATATATATATATATATATATATATATATAGTTAATACACCTTACCTAATTATTTTTTAAAAAAAAGATACTTATGATTAAGACAAATTCTTAAGACGGTTACACACTGATGGCTTGCTTAAATAATTAATAAAAAACACACTTGTAAGTGTAGGACTAAAAATGGCATGCCTAAACATTGTGCAGAGTGGTAGATGTAAACATGAAAAGCTACAAATTATGATGCAGCTAGGAAAACTGATTATATGCGTTAGTTCTTTTTTGGATAGAAGTCCTTCTTGTATCATTCTGGAAAGACTTCCATTATTCCGGGAGTGTCGTTGATGGGTTAGTGAGGAGCTGAATTCGAATACTTCATTACGAAGTGTTGAGACGTATCCACATTTGGGTTCAGACTATTAAATAATCAGCTTGCCGTTAATGTTATTTTTACAAAGTTCTTGAATGATTCTGTTATCAACAATTTTTAGATATAATGTTGAGTACAATTAAAACATAGGTCCAAGATAGCTATGATGAAATGCAATATTTGGACTTATACTAAGATGGATGAGTGTGAGGCTAATAGCATTGCCATACAGAAGGAGCAGAAGAGTTCCAAAGGAGCCGTGCCTGAACAAGACCATGATTCCTGACCATTCGATTTCAATTTAGAAACCCTGTTAAAATATAAATTTCAACATCAACGTCCAGTGAGGTCTATTAATTACCTGTGAACTCAATTTTAAAAAGATTTTCCAGTAGTTCATATATCACTGGAAGTTCTAGATCTCCACATATTGTCATTGAGATTTAGACGACGGGTTAATTACTAAAGATCGTGAATGTTGAGTTGGTCAAGTACTAGAACGTGTTATCTTTTGCTCAAGCGTTTGTGAAATATTTGGCAGTTATTATCTGGTGATGCTTTTGTCCAAATCCATCAAGGCAATATTTGTAAAACCATTATGCCGAACATAGCGTGAATAAACATATGAATTTTAAAAAATTGAACGTCTCACACTTTAGCGACTTAATAGTACGAAAAGGATTCTGAACGATGTAATACAGTCTGATATCTCAGTTGTACTTCCGTACACCAGAGTAATACAAGTGTGATGCCATTGGACTGTTTTACATTATGTAATAATCGGGTCACATGTACCAAACGTCGGTGACCGATAATTTCTCCATTAGTAAGTCCTCACTAGTCGCCTACAATTACTCGTTGACTTTGGATTCAAGCAACGAGTTTGGTGGTTAGCTCTGCTGACTACTATGAAAACAGGGGTACCACGAAGCACCGAAAAGTCATTTTTTCTAACTGTTTCAATGTCTCATTTAGTAATTAGGATTTTACAATATAATTTGCCAAGAAAACTCATTGCATTTATACAGTCACAATAAAGTTATTGAGGTTCGTTGTCTCGAGCATATTATATTTTGACTTTTCGTTCCCTTAGCCGTTGCAGTGTGTGAATAAGCTTCTACTTTGTCACACATTTGGTGTGCTAATATACCTACACTGTTTATTCCAGAAGTTTTGTAGATTTCAGCCAATCAGTTACAACAAAGTATCGTTCGAAACACTGTTTTACATAGTAGAAGAAAAATTTTTGATCTATGAAACAACTGTCATTCATATAGATTTATCAACAAATATAGCGACATCAAGCAAAACAATCCAAATCCATCCATGGAGAACCAACAGATGCTGTCCACAGTGATTTCAGTAAAGCCTTTGTGTTTATGCATCATGATGAACTCCTGATACGGCTCTAAAATATTATAGTTTCTGGGTTTCCGCTAAAGCGTATTAAACACTCTACGTCAGGCGTCCGACAAATAACAGGAATAAAATACAAATGCTCATCGTGGAAACTATAACTTAATGAAGTGCATTAACTCACATTCCTAGGTTCTTTGCAATTTGTGTTTTGCGTTATTATGCTGTTGATTATGCTTAAATACACTCTAGGCAGACCTACACCCTCTAGTGTGTTGCTCCAACTATAATCAATGTCTATCAATGGAGCAACATATGTCAACATGCATACCAGATATGCAAACGCAAATGGTCAGATGGAGCGTCAAGCAGTTGGTTCCATGTTACAATTATATTTTATGTAAAAATGAGTTCTAACCTTAAGAAAAATGTTCACTTTTTTGCGGTTACGGCTAAAATTTTAAGTGTATTTTAGGTAGTAGGATATATATTTACCAAGCTGTAATCGAACACATTCACTGAGAAATACACGACAAGAATGAAATGTAAACTGAAAATCTATGTTCAGGCTATAGGCCCTTGTTTAAAGTATGAGTTGGACAATATGTAAAAGTACATAAAACAACTTTCGATGCATCCCCAATAAAATCTAGGTGTTCCATACACAAATCTTTTTGAGATGAACGTGGGAACATAGACGCCCAGTTTATCTTGCTGGCAAATAATTTAAAAATTTCATCCCTAATTTGACATTAATACGCTGATCTGAAAACTAGAGTTTGGAGTTTGAATACTCTAGTTTGCACTATTTTGGCGGCCGAACGGTTCTTTTACTACGGCGGGCAATAGCAGGTTTCAGCATGGTTACAAAAGTACTGTGTTATTTTATTTATATTCCATAGTCTGTCCCTAAACCGAAGTCGCATAAACCAGCCTCAAAGAAAAAGCAGGTCCTGAAGTTCAGTATATGCATCTCGCCCGGAGTTATTGATGAAGATATAGTTAGCCCTAGTTTACTTGTATGCCAATGTGACTTCCGTAAATTTCGTTCTTTCAGGAAAAATATTTGAAAGAACACATAAAAGTGGATAACAAGCTTAACAACCTTGGGAAAGATGTTCACGTTGAACGTGACAAATCGACTATACATGTTACCGCAAACATCCCTTTTTCGAAAAGGTGAGTTGTGAGACTTGATAATTGAAATTTCTAGGTATCTTAAATATCTGACAAAGAAATTCCTCAAACGTCACAAATTGCGAGATTTCCTTCGCGTCGTAGCGAAATCAAAGGATTCTTACGAATTTCGGTTCTTTAACTTTGAAAATGAAGATACGGATGATGAAGAGGAGAACTAGTCGTTATATGTAATAAATGGATAAGTGCCGGACAACTGTCATTTTTCTCATCATGGGTAAATGTGTTCCCCGTTCCCCTACGAACTAGCTTATTGCTGCGGTGAACTCAACTGTATAGTATAAATTTGGCTAACAAACAGGTCATTAAGTTAAGATTTATCCATTGGATGTCGACAATGATAATCCTCTTGTTCTAATGATAAACCAGTGTTATAACTAAGGTAACCCTCACATGTCGGCTCTTATCCTAAAATTTTGTCTACACATATTTACATCGTCAAATTGTAGTTTCCAAAATCTAAATAGTCGAAAGAATTTTATTCAATGTAAACATTTCTTTCAAGGTTTTTCCACACAGTTGCCAATTTTCGGTCTTCTTAATTGATACGTGACAAACGTTCTGTCATTATTGTTTCTGTAATCTACAGCTTTGGTGTTCACGTGCGTCTAAGATTAGTACAACCAATTAGTCTGCTTATTTGATTTACATCTGGCCAAGATATACCTTTATGCTCTTCAGCTCTGCACATCGACTTCTAGAAAGTAGAGTTGCATTGTTTGTTACTCCTATGCTGTAAACTATCGTCATAGGAATAGACAGTTTCAACCCTTTCGTCTTACTATCAGTATTATGAGAAAATAACTAGTCAGCTAAATAGGTGTCAAGGATGATTTACCGACTGAACAACATGTAAACGATCCACTTGAAGCTCCCATCTCTTACCAAGTGGATATAGTGGTACTGTTTAGTCTGGTGACTTCCGAAGGTTTTCTGTGGTTTCAGCAGTTTACATAACGTGTGTGGGATAAGTACAATTATTCAGGCAAACATGTAGCTTTATAAACCATTATGATACAATTAGGAATATTATCCTGAACCTGCCTAACTAAAATTTGTGCTATTTGACGCAAATAAGATCACGTGCTACAATTTTGTACGATATTAAAACTGAACAATATTTATGTGGAAGCTCGAGTAATGGTACATTCACTAGATTGCTTCGAACAAGGTCTTTGGCATTAAACACACTAACGTTTATGTGCTTAAGTGAACAAGTGCAATTATGTCCCGACCAAATGGATTACTACTTTTGCCTGGTATCCTATACCTGATCCAAACATTGGTTATTGTGTCGTTTGACAGGACTTGAGTAATGTTGAAACAGGTACCGAATCGGTTAGTGAGGATGTGAACTTTAATCAACCGAGTCCATTGCGATGTGCTCTGCTGCGGCGTGGTAGTTGGATTAAGTTGAAGGAAGGCGAGGGACAATCGAACTAAGACTATCTATTAGTTCCTTAAGTCAGTGGCCGTTGGATTCAGTCGTGTTGGTGGAGCTAGTTACCTAGTTGAAGTCCGGTAAATCAGAGGTTAGTGACTGGAAGATATGACAGTCATTCACAGTGCTACAGATAGTTACCATTCATCTTAAATCCTAGTGTTGGTTAGTACATGCCCACACATCCTATATTTTTAAACAATATTCTCAATGCTTAGACTACTGAATTATCTCCATCTATATGAACACATGATTTGGGGACTTGGGCCGAGACATCTGTCGCGTGCTCTTAGTTGATTGTTCAACTGTAATTATCTGAATTCATATCGGTAATAACTGTTTCGACAATTGTCAAAATTGAATACTGTTACTAGCAATTTACTGATACTTGAGGTCTAGACAGGACGGAGAGCATCTGAAAGGCGAAGACCGTGTATAAAAACGAAGCTCGATTAAGTAAGTGTAAATTGGACTTCACTGACGACTTGTGGCTGAGTATTCAGAATATCTGTCTGATCGGTCAAATCTGACTTCCACTATTCGCTCGACTGTTAAGAAAACTTTCCGTTTGTTCTAAGTTGCGTTTATCTGTGATTTGTGTTTCCTCTTAATAGCTACTCAACATGGTTATTCACTACGTACGTGTCTAGGGAATGTAGTCGTTTCTAATGACGGATAAGCAATCATACCGTCAGCCGATAAGATTTTAGTTGCTCATTTCTATGTAGTAGTGTAACCAATATATTAATATAAAGACATCTCGGTGAGAATAATACAACTAGTTCTCTATTCACTTATTAGATGAAGGGTGTTACAAATAGCAGGTAGTTGAATATACTTGAGATTTTCCTACCATCAATTATAAGCTTTGTATCGATACATGAGGCTTTTCGTGACACCAGATTTGTCTTATCCGATAACCTCGATAATTTGCGCAGGAAGTAGGTTGGTAAACTGACGTAAATTCTCAGTACTTATGTGATTTATCATTCGCAGTCTTCTCTGAAAACAGGCAAATATAGTGGTCATGAATGAGCTTTCGAATTTTGGTGAATCTAAAACAGAAGGGTTACATGCTGCTCGAGTGTAAGATGGATCACATACAGGTGTAATAGCAAATATGTGCAAAATACAAATCATTCTTGACCGCCCCCGAAAAAAACTAACTGAAAGCTTAGTTATTAATATGCAACAGTCCTCAGTTGCATATTTAATAAATAGATTATCATCATGGTTATTTGCTGTGAACTTTTGTGTAACCCTCTTTATGGTTAAATTACGGTTCTCTAAACTCAATTAGAAGCCAATGAGCATCGAACAGGATTATTGATAACCATTATAATGAACGAATTCTTGATTTTAGTTTATGTGGAGAGTTTATTGAGTAAAACGATGATAATCCTTATGTTACTACCGATTTTGCTGCTAACATTTATTATCTACGCTTGTAAAACTTGGCCGCTGCGAACAAGCGATGTTCGGCAGCTTCACACGTTCGATTAATCTTAAATTCGAAGATGGGCCGCTCGTATACGCAGGCAACATTGTGATGAGTCACATAATAAGTGATCACATTAAAATACCGGTTACAACGTGGCCAGGCCACGTTTTATGTATGGTCTAGTGGCTTTGTAATTGTCGACGCTTAATAAGAATAGAGGAGTTGAAGCGGTGGGTTTACGGCTTTGTGTCGTGGAATGAAGTATAGTCTTGTATGATCAGCATGCGTAGGATAGTTAGAACATTTAGAATAAAACCCAGCGATAATACTACTGTAGTTTTACATTGTGTTGAGCATTTTAAATGAACGGTTGTCATTGGCGTTATGTACAACACTACTTTCCATTATTATTTCCATGGAATCTACTCTCATTTATTTATAATATCGTCAGTTCGTTTTGTATGCATTATTACACTGTTTACTTCAATTGAGAAACATAGAAACCGGTTAATCGGCCATTATTATTGTAGTCATTGATGACAATATCTTGTACAATATAACTGTAATATATCTTATTTGTAATAAACAAGACATTTCCAAGTAGGTTACTCTCCTCCCGATTAGTAAACTACAATTAACAACAAGAAAACACTAATTCCAGACAAATTTTTCAACGATAACATGGTATGCTACAAGATTACTAGACATATCAATCGGGCAACTACTATATATATATATATATATATATATATATATATATATATATATAGTCACAAAAAGTATTCAATACAAAACAATTGAGTCTTAAAACATGGATTATGTTAGGGGATAAGTATTATTCTTTGTCATTTATTATTAATACCAGCATGAATTAGATTCATGGGAATCCGTCAAATTCATCTTCAGATAGTTCTTTCGCATTTTCAAGCTCTTGTTGTTCACGTTCACGACGCTCCTTGAAAAAGTAGATTATGTATACATTTGTATAAAACAAACAAATGAAAATAAATATTCAATTAAAAACTTCCATCAAGTAATAAATTTGAAAGCCAGTTTTTTGTCCCAAATTTTGTTTATTTATTTAAACACATAATCATAGATACAAGGAGGTACCACGTACATATGCGCCACATAAATCATTCGACTTATGTGAGGGATAGGATACTGTCCGGGTGCCCAAATCGAAGCAAGTGGTCTCCTTAGGGGGCCTTCGACCTAAAGGTCTGATGCACAAGATAGTGGAGCAACGTCAGGGAATGTAGTCCCATGGTAGATGGTAACCAAAAATAGGTTCATACTCCATTTGTTCCTTCAGGATTCTGGAGCACATATGAACCATTGGTTTGGAATCAGGGTTTTCCAACTCCCCTAGGTGTATCTTCCATATCCACCAAAGCGGTTAAAGCGCCGGTCATTCGCTTTTTGTCCTCTCAATTTAGTAAACAACACCCCCTTCGCGAGAACACAGTGAGTAGGACTTCTCTGGAAGTGGTTGTATGCACGTAGCCATGTGAGAGCATTTCGAGAGGGAGAGCTGACTCTCCTCACTCTCGGTGGTACCAGGGTATTTGTAAACATTAAAAGCATGACAGCTCACTAACGTCATTTCCGAAATATTGAATGAAAGATACTGGTAACTAGTATTGTCTGATTCATGAAAGATACAACAAGCGACTGAATTCAAGAGAACTGATCACTTCGGAAATTATTGAGACCTGAATTTCGAATTAACAAACTATATTAATCAGTTTAACTGAAGTTATTGGTAAACATGAATCATGATTGAATATATATGTATATCTTGACGAGTGGACTTATTTACCAGACTGTTCAAGTATAAGTTTGTTCGTTCAAATGCGTTTATAGACAACGATCAGAGATCCAAAACTAACGATGTACATATATCTTTCTGTAGGGTAAAAGACCTTCCAGTCACTTTTAGGATCTTTTTTATCCAAATATGATACATAAATATGAATCAGTGAATATTTGAAGACAAAATTACTTTTCGAACCAACGGTTCTAACTTTCAATAGTTGAAATCATGAGTCAATTGAAGCTAGACCACAATGGAAAACTTGGAAGGCCTGGTTCTAACTTTGGCAATATGAAAAAGTAAAATAATTCCGGGATTATTAATCGAGTCCTGTAAACAGCTGTCAATTCATCAGCAACAATGTAGGACCTAGTAAGGATGTGCACCAGTCCAAGTTTCTGAACCTCCATAACAACATACGGCGAGACTATAATTTATGGACGAACCAATCAGATTTACGTCAATAGGTCTTAGATTTTGGCGTGAAATTAATTCACCCATTTGGCTAAATAGAGTCATGGCATTATAGTTTATGTCAGTTCCTGATGAAAACCCTAAATCCAATTCCTAACCCTAATCATCAACTGTAAATCATAATCCTTATTCTCCAAACTGCTTTATAACCCTCATTATCCCTAGTAAGTAGGTAGACACTCTCAAGGTCACTTTAGCGTCGCTCAAAGGTCCTCCGTAAATTATAGTCTCGCCCAACATAAAAAGAGAAAATAATAAGTATTAGTATTATAACTACAATAGCTTACTTCAGCAGATTCAAGATCTTTAGAGTATTGTTTCGGGGGATAACGCATTGCTTTGACCGCTTGATTATGTATGC